TCCGCTCCACTGCCTTATTCTGACCTTCGTATAAAATATTCTGCTCTCCCTGCGTCAAAGCGCACTACATTTTATGAAACCTAATTTACTTTTTGTGTGAATCTTTTATTAGTGTTCCATAATTTCAGTTTTCTACAAGGCTTCAAATGGAGTATTGTTTTGGTGAAATCAACGTAAAGTGAAAGGAATTCAGATACTCTTTCCCGTTTCTTTTACATATGCTGCCCCACTGTAAATATGTGATCAAAGTATCCTTTGTTGTCGAGGTCACCTGTACCCGGAAGAGAACGGAGTCACTTAATGCTGTTCGAAACCAACGCTGTTGTGCACAGTTCAACAATCATTTTTGCTCCTTCGTTACAACAGCTATCTCGGTGTCGTAGAATAACACTGACCTGACCGAGGCAAGGTACAAGCGGATTTTTGTGGCAAGAGTATCATATTGAACAGATTTCCAAATGCGCTCTATGGTGTTCTTCCTGTTTCGTCACAATATCATTACTGTCGTCACCCTGATTCCTTTCCGTTTAATTTGAACCTCACCACTGTAACTTTGTCGGATTCAGTCTCCTTAAAGCACACGAAAGCTAATGCTTTCCTATTAATTTTTAGAGCAAAACTATCTGTTTGTAGCAGTTTCTTTTGTTATAGTGCCTGTACAATGGAAGCTACAGTTTTGTACCAACTTTTTTCTTAGCTCTTTTGTCATCCAGTGCAGTTCTTCTGAAAGTAGTACACTTTGCTTAACGTTCGCAGGCTTCACTTAGCAAATTGCATCTGACACCTAGCACTTTAAAGTATTTTTTACATCTGCAGATTTTCGATATCCGTATTTATAGCCAGGTGATTTCTGAGTCGTTACCCACCAAATTCAGCCCTAATGACAAATTCTCTATAGTTTTTTTAATCAGAAAATTTCCGTTGCTTTGCAAATTGGTACGGGCAGCTTGACTAGAGCTGAACAGTTTAATCGCCTGTCGCAGAATTCATGGTAGGACTTCGTAAGCTGCGGAGAGGAAAAGGCAGTCCATCGATTTCCCTCTCCCTTTCAAGCATATCTTTACGTATCTGGACGATTCTCGATTGTTTCTCACTTGGAAGTTGGACTATATGAACCATATATTTGTGTATTTATTTTGTGATATCACAGACTGGATAATAACGCATGAACGTTTTGTATATATTCTTTACTCCAAAGATGGTTTATGATTGATTAGAAACGTCAATTGTTTGAAGTAATGTAAGTAAATTGTGTAGGTGTTGTTTTTCCTTTGGTAATGTTCAAATAAATCATCGTCTCTCGCGTATACAATGTGCTAAATTCAGTAGTTAGTTATGTTTCTATCCATTGTTGCTGTTGAAAATTTCCGTTGATAAATCATGCAGGTTTATTTTCGACTCGACATAACGATAAGATTTTTGCATCATTTGTCTTACAGGTGTTATAGTACCATTAATGGTGGTTGCTTAAAATCCTTCAGAGCAACTAAAAGCAACAGGATAATATAATTTAAGACGTAGATCCAAACAGAGACATTAAACTGAACCATTGGGTTATTGAAATTATTCCCTGATTGAAAAATTGCTTTTTAAAGGTATTTTTTTCGTAATCTGTCAGTCCTCATATGTCTAGATATTGTCAAAGATGTAAATTTAGAGCCATCAAACTTAATCAGATCGCCAGTGTTTATCATTCAGAACTGCCAGCGTAACTCTTTCAGAATCTACTCCGCTGGTATTTTAAATTTGTTGACCAGATCGAACTGGATTTTGATCAGCGTTTGTTTGCTTCAAATGCATCATTTTTGGTTGATGTTCGCTAAACAATCAGTTTTGTCAAATGTAACGTTTCGCTTTTAAGTTGCTCACGAATAGTCAACCCATTGTGCAGAAGGCTGCTTTATCGTGCGTGCTTTCGTACCGTGACAGCGATTTGGAAAATTACAGGTATTGAATTTTTAATCGACTCTTCATTTCTTCAAACAGCATGCTTAAATTTATGTGAAGTTTGGGGAACAGTTGGAAAATTAACTTGTAACTTATTACTGTTATTTCTGAAAAAAATTTTATTCTAGAGAATTTCTTTTCAATATTTTGGACGACCAGTCATTTAATGATCAACTGATCATGTTTTGTATCGATCCAGTGCTTACGAAGATACCCACTGAACAGCGAATGAAGCTGATGCCGCTTTTACTCAGGTGACATTTTGAAACGCGATATACTGGTTTATGTAGCTTTGCGAAACGGAAATTGATACTGACCTCGTGCCTTTGTCGGTTCTGTTGTTTTCTTGTACGGGGCAACGGCGTTTGGGCATCAAGGTACCCTGGTTTACGCAAATTGAGGTCGATTTCCTTCATTCGAATAATCAGATTATGTACTCATACAGTATTTTGATAATGTTTTATAGTTTTGTCATTTGCTGGATTTGAGGATGAGTTTTGCTCACGGATCTGCATTTCAGGGCTAAGCTTCCTACTTTCCGGCGTGAATGCCCTGCATGATAAGTTAAAATGCTATAAAACGGTAAATTTATATAACATGGTATATGGTTTGTCTATTCGGTGGTGGAGCAGTGCTATATATCTTTTAAATACTCACAGGAGAGTATTCCAATGATTGATAAACTAGGAAGATGATTAGAAGGAGTTAGCGTTGGTTATGGTATTTCGATTGTAATTTATGAGGAAACTACTATCCGTTATTCGCATTTGTCGTGTAAGGGAGCACCCTGCCTGGTTGGAGTTCAGTCTGAAAATAATAGACATCTGATTCGTTGTGCTGTGGTCGGTTGTGAAGACGCTTCTTTTCTGTGAACCTTCTACTTTGTCAATTCGCGACAAAGTTTTCGACAATTTACATGTGTCTTTTAAGATTAAGATTTTACTCTTGAATGGCACCATCGATGACACCATTTTTCAGCATAAGAAAAAATAAACAGAACATATCAGCATTAATTTAGCAAGAACAGAAGTAAATCACAGGACAGTAATTTAACAAGAAAATAGCAGAAGGATTTGACAGTTCTCTGGCAACACAACGCATGGGAATAAAGCTATGTTGCATTTATCATAATCAAGTAGAGCTGTTTATCGGCGTGGGGATCCCTAAGGACGAAGTGAACGAGAAAATCATACGAATGTCTGTCTTCCTTACGCTTAAAGGTTAGACAGCAGGTCGGGATCTCTCATTTCTGAGGTCGACGCTCTACTGATCGAGTAGCGACGTATCGTAAATTCCGTACTCAAGGGAATTCGTGGCAAAGATAAAGATTTTTCTCTAGTTGGAGCTCGAAGCCGACCTCTTCTGCCCTGTGCCACCTCGCCACCACTGACTAAATAGATGACAACATACTAACAGTAAATTTGCATCGTTAGGATAGCCATTCCAAACTATTTTTGCTTCGATTCTTTTGTAGAAAAGTGCACAGCTTTGCGATAAAATGACATCTCAGTTGTAGGTCTTTGTTATTTCAGATGAAGTTTGTCTCCCTTGACAATCTTGTTACTCTTCAGACGGAAAGTTGAATACGGCGGACAGCATGAGTGCAGATGCGCCTTCTGTGGCTTTGAGCTGTTTTACAAACGGATCTTCGCCTTGTACATATGAATCCATGAACATCACATCACTCCTAAATCTACATAGGAGTTGGCGTAAAAATACTTATAAATACAAGACAAAAACCCAATTCTGAATGCAGATTATCCTGCGGAGTATTATTGAACTTACTGCGAGCAGATCGGTAACTGTTCGATTGAAGAATTTGCATTGTTACCTGTTTCACAGATGTAGGCCATGCTTCGAGGTTGATTTGCTAAGT